CTCTCTCTCTCTCTCTCTCTCTCTCTCTCTCTCTCTCTCTCTCTCTCTCCTCTCAACCATTTGCTATTGCGCGATATAAGCATATGTCGGAATCGTTTTATAAGGCGTGGCGGTGGAAGCCGTTGAAAACCCTTGTATTACAATACAGTCCAATTGGTTTACCAGTTTTGCTTGGACTTGCATGAGTCTGTGCGCAGCACGATACCAAAGCGACCAAGCTAACGTGTACCACATACATGTATCATGCGGTGCTCTTTGCGTGCCTAGGTGTGCTGACCCTACTCCACGTCCTGGTAGAAGGCCCGAGGTAGGTACTGTATTTGTTCATGGACAGTACCAAATTGACTCACAACTGCTGTGCACGATTTGCTGTTGCAGTGAAAAATGTCCACCATCCCAGTCACCGTTTTTGAGGGCTTTGATGGAGAACGACTATCAGTAGCAGCCGTGACATGTTTACCTCGGCAGCAGCCCTTCTGAGAAAGTTCACATTCTTGATGGTTGTTCAGCGGTCAACACCGAATTGGCATCTGGAGCGAGCCGTCGGCACCTTATATCTACCCACAGCGGTATCAAATACGACCATTGTGGGGCAATGAAGAGCCAATGCGCCAAAAGCAATGGAGTGCTGCAGCAGGCCGATCATACGAAAAAGGCACTTTGGGCGAAAAGCATGGATGTTTAGCTGCGCAGCAACCACCATGCTGCGATGGTATCCGATACACAACAACCGAAAACTCTGATCTCTTCTACCCGGAGAGCTCCCGACGCTTGCCTGAAAGTCTGCCGCATCATTCAATAGGGTATGGAAATAGGCAATAAGCATCGCGCCGCCGCAGTGTATTCCGTCGACCCGGTCTATTATGGGATCACTGATACTGGCTCATTTCGCGACTACTCCGAACCTTCCTCGGTTCCAGGCTGCAAGTTCTTCCTGTCTACCTAGCGACGGTGCTTCTTGCCGTTGGCGCTGCGGCCGGAGGCTTCGGCGACTCGGCGGGTCTGCTGGCCGCGATGGGTGTCGCCACCCTGGGACTAGCGTCATGTTCGCTTCTCCTGTGAGTACCGCAGTTCCTCGCACTCAACTGCTGTTCTCCAAAGTTTGCCGACCTACCCTCGTGTACTTATGCGAAACGTCCCTTGTCCGAACACTTAACGCTCGGTACCCCGATAACTTGACAGGAAGAGCGACATCAGCATCTAGAAGGGGCTGTATTGGTAGGCAGATATTGGTCTTGTCGAGGGTTTTCAGAGGACACATGTTTTTTTCATTGGCACTCTTACCCGTACCGTAGAGCAACCGAGTGTGGAAACCCAGTCCAGGAAGGTATGATATGGTCGGATCGCTTCCAGTTGGTATGGTGCATCATACAAGAAAACCGTGGTGCGATCCCCACAGTTTTTGCACGCGCTCCCTCACGCCACGGACGACTCTCCTCTGTATTTTTCTGACACGGGTTGTTGACAGCACGAGTGACAGCCAGGCTCGCCAATGACTTTAGTCCTGCTCACTGTCGACCATCACGCACAGGTGCTACCATTTGCCTCGGGTACTACCTGTTGGCGGGCGCGGTCCTTACGCTGTGGGGATTGCGACTGAGCACATCCGCACACCTGTAGCCGCCGCCGGGGACGACGCCAAGTCTTCTCCGAGCGAAGAGGAGCTATGGCCTCTGGAGCTCATGGCTCAGGTAATTTAGCTTCTCACGAATAGCATGTCGGCACTGCTGGTTGGCTTGGTTTGCAAAGAAAGCCGCTGTCAGCTTTCGGTCGAAGCATGTAATGATCCAGATTCGCGCTCTATTCCACACGCCTAGTTTTGCACCATATTCTGCTACCACTGCTGTTGTAGGGTTGGCGTGCCTGATACTATTCATTTTTTTTACGATCATGCGACCGGTCCGGCCCAGGTGTTCTATCCGGTGGAGAGATCGTGCGTGGCAAAGCTACCCTGGTTCCCGTCCAGCATCAAGCGATTCCGTCGGTCGCTCTGTCCTGCCACAGGAGAGGCCAACCGATGGCCTTTCGGCCTCACTCAGGTATCTCCCCTTTTGAGCCGACCTCTCAAGCGAACGCCTGGCATTCCGTGGGGTGACTTGCGAATTGCCGCGGTTGTCTCGCTTCGTCTTGAACGCTGGTGCCGCTGTTGAGCCGGCTGGCCCTGTCTCGTTGGACAAATTTACTACTGTAAAGGATGCGAGTGAGCTTCCCCGTACCAGCAGCGGTGTACTCCGGTTAGAAACTTCCCAAGGTATAGTGTAGCCCCCTCCCCCTTCCCCCCTCAGACCTACATTCCGTCACAAACTCCCTTGCTCCCCTCTCGAAACGGACACAGATGGGCGTGGTTGGGGCGAGCATAGTTCTAGGGTTAGAGGATTCCCTTCGGTCGGACGGTACCCCTTCCCTGGGAGACCTGCTGCGGTCGGTGCCGTCGTGGTCGTCCCTCGCTGGTAGCGCACACGCGTGGACGGTTTCGGCGGCGGTGGCCTTGTGTTTGGTCTGCCTGGTGTCCGACTTGCGCAGGGGGCTGTCTCGCTCGGCGTACCAGACCAGGTGCGCCGCGAAGCGCCCGAGGATAACATGCAGTGCTGAGACAAAGCCGTGGTACCTAACGGGCTCTCCGGAACGAGTGCCACCACCTCTAGGTATTTTTCACCGGGCCTCGCTCGTGCAATGGTGTTTTCGAGAGCAGCTGCCGGCGTGATGCGTTTCGCGCGTTCAACCGCACGAGGAATTTTGTTTGCTGCGGTAACCCGAAACACAACCCAAGAACTACTCGAAATGTTGATGTTGGTGCTGTACTGCTGGTGGTGGTCCCAGGTATCTCGCCAGAGAGCAGGCCAGGTACATCGCCAAGTTTTCCAAGATGCCGGGCTTTTTCACGGAACACCTCTGCGGCTTCTACGGCGCTGGCTTCGAATCCGGTACAGCAGAAGGGTACTCGCTACCGTAGCGAGACCGGCGCCGGGCTCCGAATCGATTCGTTTTGGAGGACATGGTTGGATTTCCGACCAAGAGCTTGGACACGAACGGCACACTCTCTGTTTTTGCTGAGCACTTCAACAGACTTGGGAGTACGCACCGCAACAGGAGCACGGGATTATTATACAGCCAGTTGTATCGCTTGGTCGGAAGACTTTTTCTTCCGGGTACAGCATGAAGCAAGCTCCAGACGTTTGCGCCCGTCGGGTTCCTGGCTTTAAGCTACGTATTAGCGTAAATGGGATGACTCGATGTCAAGTGTCCTTGATGTTGTGTGAGAAGTACGCTTCCACTATCTGCCACTGAAACTCGATACGCTATGCGGCGTGATCGACTTGGTCCGGTGGTGGTTCGAAAGTCCACCATTTGTCTCTGCGAGCACTGTTGTTCGAAACAAGCCTCACGTGAATCTACGTTTTCTCTTGTCGTCTGTCACCCCTCGTGCTTGACTTCTCCCCTTCGGCACTGCTACTAGGACACTTTCACGCCCCAGGCGTGCCGTGCTTTCCGGCAGCCCCGGTCGTTCGGGGTGAGGCCAAGCGGCCGATGGTGATATTTTCGCACGGGCTCGGCGGGAACCGCTCCATGTACGCCGAGCACGGCGCAGCGTATGCCGCCCAAGTGAGTGCCGAGGATTGGTTGATGCAGCGCTACTTTGAGAGAGAGAGAGAGAGAGAGAGAGAGAGAGAGAGAGGAGAGAGAGGAGAGAGAGGAGAGAGAGGAGACAGAGGAGAGAGAGGAGAGAGGCAGCCGAGATAGTCTGGCCGATAGTCCGATATTCAACTTTGGGTTACAAGGGGGGAACGGAAAGANACTCTCGTAGGCAGCAGCTGTTGAGCACGCGTGCGATTGTTTTGCGCACGTGGGTCGCAGCTGCTTTAGGAAACTCGTCTAGTCTGCTGCCCTGCTTGGCGATGGTTTTGGCGCAAACGATAAGCCGTAGCGGGTGCATCTACCGTCCGAAGCAGGAGGTCGAGCATGACACCCCCGCTCCTGTAACATTGTCAGATGCATGCATACGGCAGTGGTTGGTGTGGTCCCCTCTTTTCGTGATCCGTGTTTTTTCTATCTTACGACACATTACCTACTTGTCCAACTCGCATTTCTTCATCTCTTTTTCTATATCTCTCTTGTCTGTGGTCTGTCTCCCTGTCTGTCTCCTTCTCTTATCTCTATCTCACTCTCTCTTTCTGCTTCTCTTCCTCTCTTGCTTATTTTGTCACCCGCCACCTGATCTACACGCGACTCATCGACTCATTTTTTTAACATCCCGTTTTCAACATTACCGTCGCCGGTTGCCACACCCTTAAACGAAGGGATACGTGGCTGTCCTCCTCGAGCACAACGACGGCTCGGGCTCCAGCTGCATGTTCCCCGACGGGCGCATCACACCATACGCCAAAGCCCCGAATTTGAAGGACGTGGGCGCCCCGGACAACCACGCCTTCCGGTAAGTCTGGTTTCTTCTCGTCTCACACAACCTGCACGTGTCCTTCTGCCCGTTTCACCTTTTGTCGTTCGCGGGAAGGCATGGTTGGCATGACCCTCTTTCCTCTCTGAAGGTTATTTTCGGCGAACATGCCGTAGTCAGGAGGGACCCGTTGAGGTCACGTAGGGCCTGGGAAGTTGGGCTATGGTTGGCTCGAACCCCGCAGGTCAAGCGTCCTTGTTGCCGTTTATTCGAAACTGCTACCAAGGAGTCTAAGCGCCCTCTTTCATGTTTGACCGGTTGGATCGGTCCTGCTCCATGAGAAGGCGAAAAGGAACAAGTCTAGGAGGCTCCTCTCCCTCTCTTTCTCTTATCACGAGTACGATCAACGATGCTGCAACGTCTCGAATTTTAACGGCGATACATGTCGAATGGCGCCATACGAGTGGCACGCTACTCACCGACCCCTTGCGGACAAGAAGGTATAACCCCCTTCACCTTCCACCCTCCCTCTGCACACGCCACTATGTGTAGGCTGGCGCAATTGAGGCGCAGAGGAAGGGAAATTCAGCTCACGAGGGCTCACCTGGCGAAGCTCGCCCGCGGCTCTGCAACAGACTTGGAGGCCTGTCGACTTGTCGGGTTAGGGGATGTCATCGACACCAAGGTGCAGTTGTCGGGCGGCGTTGCTCGATTTCGCTTTGACTCCGTGCATTGGGTTATGCGTGTGTCCACCCCGTTAATTTCCTATGGAAAATGACGCGGTTTTGTGATGCTCGAGTTTGGGTTTTGAGGTAGCCGGAGTTTGGGTTTCTTTTTTGTCTCGTTTTTTGGGAGGCAATGCAGGTGTCATCGTTTGCGCGCTCAGAAAGTAGCGCTTATGGCCCATGTGTCCCAAAGGTGACGTTCGTCTATGGACACAGGCCGAATCATAGGTTGGCGGCGCCACAAACAAGGGGGCTTGCCTGTAGCAACCGCGCTTGCCTGTGAATCTCACGGAGAACATGCGGCTTCGTGGACGTGGATGACGACATCGGACGACCAGGGATTTTTGCCCTTTCTTTGGAACGGTCTTTAAAAAAATTGGCCAATCAGAAAACTGCGGGCACCTTTTCTCTCTCTCTCTAGGCAGCATTGGAGACATTATTTTTACGCTATCGGCAGGCCGCCCTTCCAACAGTTCTTACATGTTAGCAGGACAGATATGACCTCAAAGTCCTTGATCCCCCCCCCCCCCCCA